TCGGTCCCAGCATGGCTTCAGTCCTGCTCACTGCGACAAAATGTTAAATGTTTAGGTGATAGATATGCTTAAATTCTGGTTAGATCATTATGCATGCATTGAAACAACGAACTGTACCCCATAACCATGTACAATGAAAAAAAAATTCCTTATTTGTTAAAGTTTTGAATATGTTTCTTTTTTTTAAACTCAAGAAGAAACTCTAGGAAATCCTGTCTTTTGTGAGGAAACATTTGAGGTTCAGTAATTTCATTTTCATAATTTTCTCCTGTTTGTTTATTTATTTTTTAAAAGACGACCGGTAAGGGGATCTTAACCCTTGGCTTGGTGTTGTCAGTACCATGCTCAGCGAGCTAACCGGCCATCCCTATATGGGACCCAAACCTGTGGCCTTGGTGTTATCAGCACCACACTCTCCCGAGTGAGCCAGGGGCCGGCCCTATTTTCTTTTGTTTAAATTCAAGTAAAAATAAATAATTTTATTTATTTATATTTTGGTGGCTGGCCAGTATAGGTATCTGAACCCTTGACCTTGGTGTTAACAACACCAAATTCTAGCCAACTGAGCTAACTGGCCAGCCTCCAAATAAATAATTTTATTAAAAAAAATCCCGTTGGCAGGTGGGCAGATGGGAACTCATATAATTTTGGTTCTTGTACAAATTAGTATAATTGTTCTGGACAATTGTTTGGCAATTTGTGTCAAGACCATATGTTCATACTGATTAACCTAATGATTACATTTCCAGATATTTTCCCATAGAGAAATAACTAGCTATGTGAAAACATATTTGTCTGTTAGTCATAGCTTTATAGAAAATAATGAAAAACTAGAACAATCTAAATGTCTAATACCAATGAAGAGGTTAATATGTTTTGGTTAATTCATAAGAACTAAATACATTTATGACTTATTATGAGTTCATATATAGGCATATATCATATATTTTCATATATGATATATAGTATTAATTTATATGAATTCACTCTGTAGCCACTAACAAAATCAGTATTTCACAGCATGTTTGTGTTATAATATGAAGTGAAAACACAGTACACAAAATTGTATAAACAATATGATCCTAATTTTTTTTGTTTTTGGCACCTGGCTGTTACGAGGATCTGAATCCTTGACCTTGGTGTTATAATACCCCACTCTAACCCCAATATATGATCCCAATTTTGAAATATATACATGTACACTTATAGAAGACTTTTAAGTAAGTTATTAATTATCGTTTGGTAACATCAGTCCCCTATAACCTTTTAAATTTGAAATTACCAGGAATTCCTTTCCTTTTTGCTGATTCACCACATTGTTATTCATTAGAAAGTCACTGTGTTGAGGGCCGGCCCGTGGCTCACTTGGGAGAGTGTGGTGCTGATAACACCAAGGCCACGGGTTCGGATCCCATATAGGGATGGCCGGTTGCTCACTTTGGAGAGTGTGGTGCTCACAACGCCAAGTCAAGGGTTAAGATCCCCTTACCGGTCATCTTAAAAAAATAAATAAATAAAATAAAAATTTTAAAAAAAAAAGAAAGTCACTGTGTTGGGTACCATACTACCTCTTTCCATTTGTAATGGAAATTTCAGCTTTAATGTGCTTTCATACATACATATTCTTATTCCGTCCACAGAATCCAGTGAGGGAGACAAGGTAAGTATTTATTTTCTCATTTTATAAATGAAGAAACAGTCTTTAGAGAACCTGGACTTGTGTACCAGGTGTCCTGGCATGGTCACATGGCTAGTAAGTACAGAGTGAGGACCAGAATCTTAGCCTACTGTTATTTGTCCTATACTTTAAACTCCATTTTATGGGTGGTCTACAAAGACAGTTATCACGTAGCACACCACCACAGGGCACCTTTTGAATTGTATTCTGACGGAATAGAATCCCTTGGAGTTGAACCATGCACGATTACACATAGTTGCGACTGTGGGCACCTTGCCCATATTCTTTGTGCCACGGCACTTCTGTGTCTGCCTACCGGTTTCAACTACCAGTGTTGGCATCTCTTTGCCTGCGGGCTTGCTCGGAAGCCAGCAAGAACTGCTCTGTCTCCTGGAAGTACTAGGCAATTACTGCCATTTTCCCAGAGTGGCCTTTCAGCCAAAGTCCTTGCCCCTCAGGTGGGATAAGTCTGAATTGTGTGTTCAACACTGTTTCCCAGAGTTTCACCACAGGAATTAAGCTTCAGCAGCCTACAGTGTTCGGTAGCTTGACAATGCGCACTTTACTGACGTCTCTCCTTCCCTGTCTTCCCCACTGTGACCATCCCTACTGCCTACACCTCCTAAATAAACCACCGGCCCTAGAATCCTTGTCTCAGGGTCGACTTCTGAGGAAATTAAAAAATAAGACATCATGCATGACAGCCCTATTTTTAAAAGCTAACTGGTTACCTGAAATGCATATTTGGTGTAACAATCCTAGAAATGTGTCAATTATGTTATTTTTGGGCATAGGAAGAGAAGGTGCCTTTTTAAAAGTCTAAGTCTTTAATATTAGCCTTGTGATAAAAGGCAAATTATTCGATTCTCATATGGGCCACCAAAAAAGAAAAAAAAAAAAAGGAGAAAAAAAAGAAAAGAGGAAAAAAAAGGCAAATTACCCAACTATTTTTTTGTTTTTGTTTTTTGGCAGCTGGCCAGGACGGGGATCCAAATCAACTGTTTCTACTTAAGAAACAGAAAACTCTTACATATGCTATTATATCAAATTTTATTAAGAAGTAAAGTGCTCAGTATTACACATTAGTGAAATTCTTGATTGTCGAGAAAGACTGGCATGTGTCACATCTTAATGTACCAATACAGAGGGAACAATGATAGGGAAGTGATGAGCAAGGAATTTTCCGTGACTAAAGAAAAATACATGTAACTTATGAGAAAAAGAATTCTGCAAAATTTTACAAATGAAACGAGAAACAGTATGATAATAAGTATCATAAAAAGACATTCTAGTGACCATAATTAATTTATGGCACATGGTCAATACACATGGATACCACATAATGGCTGCACTTCAAATCGAAGTTTGTTTACATGTAACAACATGGTACACATACATAAATACATACACTCAATATCCCTGGAATGCAACTTTAGGATGTAGTAATAAAGAACTTCGTGTAAGGGCCGGCCCGTGGCTCACTTGGGAGAGAGTGGTGCTAACACCAAGGCCACGGGTTTGGATCCCTATATAGGGATGGCCAGTTGGCTCACTTGAGAGAACGTGGTGCTGACAACACCAAGTCAAGGGATAAGATCCACTTACTGGTCATCTTTTTTAAAAAAAAAATAAAAGAACTTCGTGTAGCATATTCAAAAGAAAGGAAAGATAGAGGTGAAGTCATGGGGAATAACTTAAAGAAATCCAATATATTCCACTTATACAGAAGCCAGCCTAGAAAGGCCCGTTTGCTCATCTTTTCATTGGAGATTTGACTGACATATTCTACCAATTAAATGAGCAACATGTGAATTTAAAATATAGCATTAAGAACAGGTCTCTGTTCTATTGGTTCTCCAAATGAGGACTATTCACCAGCACCGCATTCTCTCTTGCTTGTCATTAGCTCTCAAAATGTCACCTTACTCAACACTTTTGAGAAATAAGACTTTTATTTTTTATTGACAAATAGATTTTCCCCCATAAATTTGGTGAGACCCACTCTTAGTGAAAACAATGGCTGCTAACTCAAACTTTGGCTGATACCTTCTGCTAATGGATGAACTTTCAATATCAAACTCCTGTTTTTATTAAATTGAGCTCCATTTGCATTACAAATTCCACTTTTGAAATGCAGGATCAAGAATGTTTGAGTAGTATATTCTTAAAACAGTTTAAAACCAAACTTTAGTTTTATAATGCTTTATGAATTTCAAAGCTTCCTTAACATTTTGCTTAAAGTGAGCATATTTGCTGAGTTAAAATTTTCAGTGCATACTAAAAAACTTAGTAAAGTGGTATTACTAGATTAGTTATAACAGTAAATTCAGTTGCAAATGAGTTGAGCCCCATGGGAAAGAGATTATATGGATAAATATACTAAACTACTTATTAGAAAAAGTCAAACTTAGTGACAACTTAGGACTCTTCAATTCTCCTAGGTCATGGTTAGAGATGCCATTTTATCTTATAATTGATCTTTGGTCGTTTCAGCTTATTTCACATGAGATCCAAAATAATGTAAAATTAAGGGATATAGTTAGTCCCACAGACATTAGATATGATAAAATAATAAAAAAGCACAGTACTTAATATTTATCTTAACCATTCATACAAAGTCTAGCATAATGACTACATACCCATTCTATGGTTTGGAGTTCTTTTCCAGTTCAATTTTCAGAAAAGTTTACTCCAAGAAGGTAGTTGAAATAAAAGACTCCTTTCTTTAAAGAAAGTTGTGTATCAAGCTCATGAGCTACGCCAGAGTGGAAAGAAATGCCCTACTTTCCCTTCACACACTGGGTAAAAATGACAATCCTGATTTTTTTGTGATTGAAAATGAACCTCAGAAGTCCTTTGACAGGTCTCTTCTAGCTTTTTTTTTTTTTGTGTGGCTAGCCAGTACAGGGATCAAACCCTGGACCTCGGTGTTATCAGCACCACACTCTAATCAACTGAGCTAACCTGCCAGCCCCTC